CTCCATTTTTGGGACTAATTTTTCATTTTTCAACCTGCTTTGATTTACAGAATTATGAAGGGGACATTTCTGAGTTGGAGCTCTACTTTATAATTGTGAATAATGAGTATGGAGAGCAAAGAGAAGAGGAACTAGTTCCAGGAGGGAAAAACTTACCTGTTACCAAAGATAATGTTTTTGAATATATTTATCTTTATTGTAACTACCTTCTGAATATTCAGGTAGTCTAATCTTTAAATTTTGCTCGTTGATTCATTCAAGTAATGCTACCGGCTGCTTCTCCCTATATGTTCATTGACATAATGAATGATATCAATTTCAGATTCAAAAACAGAGTTCTCATTTCCGTGGGGGATTTCTGAAGCTTATGCAGAAACATTGGATCAGTATGTTTAATGAGCATGAATGGCAGGTATGATAATCTATTGTTAATCTTTGGAGTTTATGCCTTTGTTTCTTTTTTTTTTCCTCGTTAGGCATGCTTGCTTTGCAGCCAACGGTTACCTTGTCTTAACTTACTGGTAGAAGCTTAAAATCTTTTTATATTACTATCAGTAGTTTGACTATGAGAACATGAGTGGATCATTTATGCTAAAAGAGGTTATTGAATGACTATGTATTGTTAACTAAAGTTTTATGCCAAAAACATTAAGCTGTCATGCATTGTCATTTAGGGCTTCAACAGTATATTTGACAAATCTGTTTTCTTTGCAGTTTCTGATATCAGGTTCACCTCAAAGCTTGGATGTTGACGACCTTCAACAACACACCAATTATACAGATGGCTATAATAGTGTAAGATGTTTCCCAAAGCCACCTCTTTTTCCATGCGCTATTTGGTTCAGGTTCTGGATGAAAGGGATTATCATGCATGCTAGGGTTTTTCATTTGTATTCAGGTTATGGTGCAAAATTTTATTTTACAAATTTCATATGCCTATCACAATTATTAATGGCCAATTATTTCAGTATGCTGTGTAAGCTGATTCTAATACCTTTTTTTTTATTTTTGTTCAGGGGCACTGCACCATTGAGATGTTTTGGGAAGTCCTTAAAAGTTTTTCGCTGGAAAATAAGAAGAAATTTTTGAAGTGCGTTGTTTTATTAATCACTCGTTATTGTCTTCACATGTTCCGTAAAAATATTGGTTGCCAATTCTTTGATTGGTACTTCCTTAGTCAGCTTCAAAAAATAAGAAATTATCAGAAAGGATTATAACTGGAAGAGTTTTTTTAACCCCTAGGTTTGTGACTGGATGCTGTCAAGGCCCTTCTGGTGGATTCAAATATCTTGAACCTTTATTTTGCATACAAAGGTAATGGTTTGCAAAATGAAATCTAGAAAGCAAACAATACTAATCTTGGGTCTCCCTGGGTTCTTCTGCTGCTTCCCTTTTATAAGGAATTGAAATTGTGTTGTGGACTTCTTTCCAGGGCTGCTGGCGCTTTGGACCGATTACCCACATCAGCTACTTGTGCAAACCTTCTAAAGCTCCCACCATATATAAGGTTTGTACCTGTCTCACATTCGTTTAATCATCTTGCTATTTGTCAAATGAGTAAATGAAAAGGGAAAGCCAACACTCATGACTTGAGATTCCTGGTTTTAGAAACTCAATTGCTAGTTCTGCTAGAACTCTTTTTGTAGGAAGTCATGCTTAATAAAAATTGTAGTCATCTCCAAGTGCTCTATCATTTATGTCAA